TCAGACAATATATTCAAGAAATGTAGACCTATATGTATCTCAATAACTAGAACTACTTACTACAAACCATTGCTGTCTCTAGTTTTGTTCTGAGCCATTTCCCTCTTTATAATTATGTTGACATTTTTAGAAACCTCTTCCTTTTAATCGGAATGAGTGTCTTGTGATATTGTGTTAATTAACAACGACACTCTTTTAATGATGACAATGCCTAGTTCCTTCATACTCCGTCACGTTGACAAGACCAACACCTGTTCGACAATCATCGTTATCATGTGACGGCCGCAGCCGAGATGGAGTTCAGTCTCTGACGCCACTCGTTCTTTACGATCATGACCTTAAGAATGTCTTCTAACTTAAGATTAAGTTTACGGGCAAGTATATCCATGAAATTCTGGGGATGTGGACCGATTTTGGGGGCAGGGCAGCCTCGATCATTTAACTTAAGATTAAGGTTATGGGCAAGTATATCCAAGTAATTATGGGGGAGTTGACCCCTTTTGGGGCAGGACAGCCTCGATCCAGCAGTTACATCTGACCTAACTTTACACATTATACAAATCAGGGTAGTCTTTTTAACCAATCTTTTTATAACAATATTACTTGAACGTACACAATTTCCACTTTCATGTCTTTTGTCTGTTCTTTTTTAATACCTTATTCTTGTCATCTTTTTGAAATGCAGTAACATACTATAGAGGTTTTGTGATATTATTTCAATCCCTCGATTCTATTGAATTTAAATCAAATTAAATCGCCATGTCAGGTAGCCAACTTTAATATGCTGCATTCAAATTACATTACACATCATCTAGCGAGTGAGGAGAATCAAGAATATGTGGAATTCCATTTCTAAACTGAAATTTTATATAAATGTAGTTTAAAAGCTACTTTTGTAGACAATTTGCCTTTTTTATTCAGTAAATAGGCTAAACTATCTGTGAGAGAAAGCATGCTTATCATATTTTTAGTGCAATATTTTTGTTATCTCACATTTTATAGGAAGATTGACATTATTTGAATGTACAATCAATGAAGATAATATGGAAACTCGATTACTTCCAAATCATATTCTTTAGAAATAGATCCGTTTTAAAGAATCAGATTTTCTTTCATGCATGTTTGTAGGTAGGTATTGTTTTAACATGATTGAATACACTTAAGAAATCAACTTCAGGGCGATTTCGATACCCTGTTGTAATGCCTATAGAAATATTGTGTGGATTGTGTAGTAAGACATTGTCATGTTCATCCATTTTAATTGATGAGGCAAAAGGGGATTTTCCTTATTTCAATAAAAAAAAAGCCTTTTCAGTCGAGTGTTTTTAATTGGATCATTTCGTTTTTGCATTTGTATAACAAAATATGCTTTGATACTATTCTTTTGGCATGAGAAATTGAGTTTGTATATTTTTACCTCGTTTTGCAATGATGCCAAAAATACTTTGGCAACCTTTGTTATTAGATGTAAATCTATATTTTCAAAGTAGGACTATACATTTAGAATTGCCTATATTCGACTGCTGTGTCCTCCTCACATTGTTGCTGAACACTCCTTCAAATGAAATGTCGATTTGAAAAGTGAAAATTATATCAATAAAGAGAAATTTATTTGTTAAGATGATTCTTATGTGTATTTATAGAAAGACATGTTCGTGTCAATCTATTATCACATATAGTAATAGTAATTGTCACAATTTAAAAATATGTCAGCTGTGAAGATGAAATCTTTCACGGATTAGTCAGCTAAAAATGGCTATGTAATCATACATTGTTATTGTTAGTAACTTTATATTTCAGGTAAGCAGATTTTGGTGTTGAGGAAATAAGTGTTTTGTATCATTCTGTTACTGTGAAATTACCCAGAGTGTGTACTATTTATATGTCCATTTCACTTGAAAATGTATTGTTATTTTTTATATTAAAGTTGAGTTTATTTCCCGGTGTTTTAAATGTGTGCAACACTCGGTATATGAAATAATGCAGTTCAAATTTATACCACGATACCAATTATCTTTATATAGTGTTGAGTAAACAGATGACATACATGGAGTAAGTAAATAAAAAGTACACCAGATTTCGATTAAAAACGTTTTATTTTTCACCAAGCTTATTTTGTGGATGGTTTGGAGGTAATTTTAAATCAAACAACTGAGTTTCCTTTAATAATAAGAAGAATAAATGCAATTAATATAGCGCCTCTATAGCACTTTGAGATGCCATCCAAGCAGAGACAGTGTGAGTTTAGTGAATGCGTATGGTTTGAGAATAGATATGTCTTCAAAAACTGTTTGAATTTGTTCTCCTGTTGGTGATGATTTGAATTGAAAAAGAAGCCTGTTCTAGAGCTTGGAAGCATCTAGTAAATCTAGAAGATTATTGACTGGTTGAATTAAGGTCACTGACGATGATAAACGATCGAATGCGCCGTAAATGAGAACGTCACACAATTGGACACTGCCTGTTTTATCTGTCTCTGTCCGTCTTTCTTCTGTCCAGCGAACGAACCATACAAGTGAATACCGGTAGCCTGATGAAGCTTATCATACCTAAACATACATATACACGTATATTACATATTGAAGGATTGAGAGAGAGAGAGAGAGAGAGAGAAAGAGAAATAGAGCTAGAGTGAGAGATAGAGAAATAAAGAGAGAGAGAGAGTGGGAATACGGGGGATAGGTCGGCTTCAAGTACACACATTAATAAAGACACATACAACAGATTTAGGTAGAACATTTTTTAATTAACCAACAAATATGCCTTAGTACATATTTCAAGAGAAAAATTGAAGAAAGGTGGTTAAAAGTTACTTAATTAGGTAAGGAATGGAAAGTAATGAATACATTTATTTATGTCATAAGTACAATAAGGAGTGAATACATTTCGTTACAATACGTGAAATAATATACGAAAAAAGCCAATCAAACGAAAAAAATCCCACCTCTCAACATGAAGGTCTCGTTCTTCAAAGGGGGCTACATTAATCATGACCTAACCTGCTCTCTAAAAACAGGAGTGAAAATCCACACTCAGGAGAAGTTCAATTCACTCGCAATGGAGTACTTCAAACCACTACATTGGAGTAGACTCCTTTATAATTTGGAGTGGATTCAACTCTTAATGCAGTAACCGCTGATATGACTAACAAAAGAATGGATTTCCACTCCTCTGCTTTAAATGGAGTAGTACCCTGATGACGGAAGCACAAATAATATAGTTCTCGATTCCGTACCCATTATGTATTGTGTGACAAAACATGTACATGCATTTAGTCTGAGATATAAATGATGACTTATTGCATGATAGCTGTTATTGTACGTCAATCATTCGGTTGAACAATAGTACGGTATGAAGAGATTGCCAATCCGAAAATCAGTGTAGGTTTTCAACTCATGTGTGAAAATGTTTAACCATGGCTACAAGTTAGGTAACATTAGCAAATAGTGTGGAGATAAAAACAGTTGATGAACAGATCAATAGCTAAAAATATGATGCTAAAGTTGTCACCTCTGGTGGTGGAGGCACAGTAATAAAAACTAAGGTTTTCTGGACAAGAATACTCCGACGTTGACTCAAATGATAATAAAGTACAAACCGGTATTATGGTGAGAGCATGTTTAAGAAACGAGCCCAACGAGACATAATTATAAGATACATTTAATCACTAGAAGAATGGAAGACATCTTTGTTCTTGAATAATCTCAAAATACATTACATGTATTTTATCATATTTATTTTCTTTTCGATCTCAACGAAAGTTGACGGAAAAATATAAACTTGACGTCAGATAATGGTCAGAAAAATAGAACCCATCATATTGCACCGAAGTAAACACATATCAAAAAGCGAACCATTTTACCTTCAATTTCAATTTCTATAGCTGAAAGATCTACATGCAACACAAGCGCAAAGAATTTCGAGAAATCAACCTAGAGCAATTTCAATAGCCCTGATCGTCACCTTAGAGTGTGCAAACATCACAATGACGTTATTACTAAATCTGAACGTGATCTCGAAAGGCGATATTGAGTTAATTTCTCGAAAGTCTTGCGATCGAGTTATACTTAACATAAGCAAAACAAAACAAGAAAGAAAAAAATTGTGACATTTATAGCCCTACGCACTGTTAATACCAACAAAAAGAGCAAATGAATCATTTATCTTTCATGATGAAGAGCAACAATTTATAGAGATTCTCTTATAAATCAAAATGGACAATGGAACAAACTAGATAATTGAGTTAACCTTTACAAATATTAAATGAAGGAAGAAAAAAGAAGAAAACAAAAATTGATTTTGAGAAGATCTGTCTAGAAATATATGGGTTAGCATAGAACAAATATTCATTCAGTGTATATGCATCCATTTTAAGGCTTTCTACTTCCAGCTAAGGTACTATTCTAAATTTCTGTTTGGCTATCGCACAAAATCAAAGTTTTATGGACAAAAAAAATGAAACAATGCACATGTCACCGTCTCAAATTTGTCAAACTAGACTGCAACATAAAGAATATTAAATGAAAGAAGAAAAAGAATTTAAAACTTAGTTTGATAACATCTGTCTAGAAATGCATGTGAAAGCATATAACACATACTCATATATGTGTATATGCATTAATTTTAGGCTTCGTACTTCTAGCTAAAGGTATCTCTTATATTTATGTTTGGCTATCACACAAACAAGGTTGTACGGGGAAAAATAAGAAGCACTCATTAATTTCAGATCACCAACATACTCATATATGCGTATATGCATTAATTTTAGGCTTCGTACTTCTAGCTAAAAGTATCTCTTATATTTATGTTTGGCTATCACACAAACAAGGTTGTACGGGGAAAAATAAGAAGCACTCATTAATTTCAGATCACCAATAAGATATCCGTCATCAAGAGGCTGCATTAATCAAAAGTCATAGCACTTATCTTAATGGTTGAATCCAAAGGTTTAACTATTTCAGAGATTTCTTTATCAACACAAGTTCGGGGATAAACAACGGGTATTCAAAATGATTCAGTGCAAAGAGGAGCTTTGGCACTTTAAAATTATACTTGTAAGTTTACTCCAATCAAAGGGATTGCTTTTTCTTTTTCTTCTTCTTCTTCTTGTTTTTTCTCTCTCTCTTCATCCGTTATTAGTCCTGCTCAGTAACGCCCACTCTGCGATAGCCAATCTGCTCGGGGCGAGGACGACGCATGCGTACCTTCATCAGCGCGTTGACGACAGTAAGAGCGATAAGAACACAGAGGGCGCTCACACCCACGATCATCAAAGGGTCATGAGATTCGAGTCCTGGAGAGGGAACGAAAAATTAACATGATATTACTAACAACAAAGACATCAATAATAATAATGATAACAATAATAGCCCTAATACGAACGATATAAATATCCCGGGACATATACCTACATTTATACTACGCAAACATCGCACCGGAAATAATGAACTTTAAGATGCTCTATGGTACATTTTTATGCATTTCTGAATGAGTAAGCTAAACATTGATGTGATTCTTTTTAAAGGTAAAGGGAGGGGGGCACTCCCACTGGAAACGATCCTGGAAGCGGTGAGTCCGCACTAGTCGACCTCAACTCACCTTCCTCATCTAAACTGCGCGAAATCTAATTTTAATTTTCGATTGTAAACAAACAACCCTCGTGAAAGGTCGTATATACTCCGAGTGCAGATTGAGAACATCCACATGGTCGTGTTAGCACGCTACTTTCTGGAGAAATCCAGGAGTAAATCGGTCGACGTAAAGTTCGGTGTTACTAACACGGCTATCGTTCAGACGATCACTACGGCGACCTTTACACCGACCTCACCATATTTCATGCCGACTAGCTCTAAACACGAACCTTACGCCGACCAAAATTGCCATCGTGTAAACACGGCTATGTTGCTCGTTACAGGTGAATAGGCTCTTTTTGTAATGCAATCAAACTTGAAGCACAAATCTTTTGAAAGTTCCTCGTTACAAATTATTTTTGTTTACAAAAAATAGCATTTCAATAGGTATAATGCGAATTGCATACATTCTGTGTTGTTAGATAGGTCAAACCATAATGTTTGTCCTACCTAGCAACAATTATATTACGAAAATGATTTATACGTACACGAAGTATATCTCGATGAATTATATCCCTCATAATTTGTCAGATGACCCGTGGGAAATTGTGAATTGAAGGAGGGGTCGATAACTGAATCAGGGGATATATACGGATACGATTAAAATAGACAAACAAAATAACACAAATCCAAACATTTGACCTAAATCCTGGGTCGACTGATCATGCCGAAGGAAATCATTGAACCTTTGCTACACATACCACTCGTTGTAAGCTGCTTGCATTGGCCGTGTTCACACATGGTATTTTTGATGGGCGCAAAGGTAGTGTTTAGTGTTAGTCGGCGTAAATACGGTAAGGTCAGCGTACAGGTCGGCGTATAGTCAACGATAGTCGTGTTAGCTACGCCGACCTTTACGCCGACTGGTTTTTCCTTCTGGATTTCTCCAGGAGTAACGCGATAACATGACTAAAGGGTAAGGTAGCGTAAGTTGACTGTATGGATGCTCTAACTTAGCACTCGGAGTATCTGTGACCTTTTACAAGGGTTGTTGGTTTACAATCGAGAATAAAAATTAGATTCCGCGCGGTTTAGATGCGGAAGCTGGGTTGCGGTCGACTAGTGCGGGCGGAAAATACGCTGAGTAAAGACTGCGTCGGAGAAAGGTCGTGTCAACTTAATCGTGGCAAGTTGGTGCGAGTGAGAGCATATGGAGAACTATTGGTTTCAGTCAAATATGTGTGGAATATTATTTACTCTACGGACACTACTCACCGTCATCAACGCTATCAAGCAACATAACCCTTTGGGTGCGCGAGGCATCGGAGAGCGGTCCGTTCGTGATGGTATGAGGTTTTGATCGGGAGCCTGTAGGCTGCAGACTACGACGAGATCGGGCTAGGCATCCCTGGGCGCAGCGGGAGCCCGAGTCATTGTTGTCACAGATCAAGATTGAGCAGTGGACGTAAACCTGTTTTGAAAGAGGACGGAGTTAGTTAAATGATGAAAAATAATGTAAAACATCTTTACGACATGAAAGATGGTTTAACGCTAATGATAAGTTGTCGTAAATTATAACACAATCACACATTTCGAATGTAATGCCAACTGCACGCTGCACAATCTGACTACGATCCGATTTGGACTCAGTAATCGAAAAATCATTGGATTTTAATTTTCATGTAAATCATTTCTTGTAATATGATCGGAATAGTTATGTGATTAATAAAATTTAAATTTAAAAAGATCCCATTCCAAGCCTTCTTGGAAAGACACCAGCTAAATCGGCTCAGTATTGTAGTGACGTCAATAGTGCGATTGTCTAAATACACTAACATTCCGACTTGTTAGTATTCTAATCATTATTTAGAACCTAAATCAGGAAGATGGTGTTTCATTAGATTGCAATATCCAATGTGATTGCCATTTCTTTAAAAATCAGGAGGATCTTCTAAATTTACGGTGGTTTGGGGATTTTTTTGTCGTCATTTTTGTTGTTGTGTGTGTCCAATTTTGTTTTCAATAAGACTAGGAGAATCATTTAGTGTGAAGTGGTTCTAAGGATTGCATAACGTCTAGAATTGCCTATCATGCAGTAGACCTACTCAACCAGGCGCGGATCCAGGATTTCTTAGGGGGGGGGGCAAATTTGAAATTATGCGAGCCAAATATTGGCACGTAATGGTGACACCGGCAGTGGCAACAAACCTTTTTTTTTGGGGGGGGGGCGGATAGACAAACAAAAAAACATCACCCCACTCTTACATGCAGGCCCCGCTGAAGGTTTCTCGGCGAGGGTCAAGGGGTTGAGCCTCCAGAAGCTCAGGGGTTATAGGCATTTAATTACTGTCAGATGAGCATACCTTATTTGTGACACTGATAGGACACGAATTGGCGTGGGGTCCAGGGCGGACCCCCCGGAAGCTCAGGGGTTTTGGGCAATAAATTACGGTCAGATGAGCATATTTTGTACCTTATTTGTGACACTGACAGGTCACTAATTGGCGTGGGGTCCAGTAGGCGGAGTCCCCAGAAGCTCAAGAGTTTTAGTCATTTTATAACGGTCAGACAAGTATCCAGGGGCCCGCCTAAGGGCCCCTGGTGGGGCCTTAGGGGGTGGAGTCCCGGAAATTAGGGGTTTTGGGCATTTGATTACATAACGGTCAGATGAACATATTTTGATACCTTATTTGTGACACTGGCAGGACACTAATTGGCGTGAGGTCCAGGGGGCAGAGACCCCAGAAGCTCAGGGATTTTAAGCATTCAATTACCGTCAGATTAGCATCCAACCGTCCGCTTTAGGGCACTAGGTGGGGTCCAGGGGGCAGAGCCACCGGAAGTCAAGGGGTTTTAGGCATTTAATTACGGTCAGATGAGCATATTTTGGTACCTTATTTGTGGCATTGGTAGGTCACTAATTGGTGTGAGGTCCAGGGACGGAACCCCCAGGAGTTTAGGGGTTTTAGGCATTAAATTACCGTGAGATGAGCATCCAGGTCCCTGACTTTGGGCCATCGGTAAAATCACTTTTTGTTGTTGCTTTCTTTAGCACACAAATTTTTTTTTTTTTAAATCCCCTTTTCCCCCTTACTTTTCCTCCATTTTTCTCCACATTCTTTTTTTGCCAGGGGGTAGGGGGGCGGGGGAGTTTTTTTTATGTTATTTGTGAACCCCCCCCCCCCCTACCAGTTAAAAACCTTTTTCCCAATGTACTATTGATTCTTAATTTCATTATATTAATCAAAACCCTTAAGGAATTTTTTGCATGCAATGCTAATTCGAGTCAATATTTCGTCGCTGTTTTCACGAAGTGACGGTAGTGAAAAAAAATTGCATTCACTTTGCGTTACGATTTTCCTCACTACCGTCACTTCGTGAAAACAAGGACGATTTGTTTGCACTGTAATTTTGCATTCAGAAATTTTGTGATGACTCTCACAACTGCCATGTGAAAGACTGCGCCAGTTGCTGACGCATTCCTACGTCAGTAGAGCTTAGAATAAAGCACCAGCTGCCTATTAGGTGTCATGTCGTTTGCGTTATTACCTGCGCTTCTTCTGGTTATGTCAAGTAGCCCATGCTCTCGTTTGCACTAATTGTCTGCACCGTTCAGAGCAACTTTATAAAACCCCACCAGACATCCATAGCTTACCTAACGCTCCATAAATGAAGCTAAATATGAAGACTTTAAGTTACCTAAGTAACGCTAAACCTAATCCTAACCCTAACCCTAGGTCTTCGACGTCTATGAACATAAACCCTATTGGTGGGGGTATTAAAAAGTGAAGTCAACCGTTTATTTAAAAAAAATCACTGTTTGACACTCCCACGTGCCGCATCAGAGACCGCACTAATCACTAACGCAGTACTACGTCAATAAATGACGCATCGGCTGTAACGGAGACGAGAGGAACAAAGGGCCATTGTAGACACTCACCTTGTCGTAATCGCCTATGAAGGTGAAAGCATCGATACTGAATCCCTTGAAAGTTGGATAGGCCCAATTGAAGATGACTGTTGTGCTGTCCACGGCACATCTACAAAACACAAATACATTTATCAAAAATAACTTGGCTTTCATGATGATTTACGTCGTACATTTATTAAGCTTTAGGGTAATGCAGGAGCGGACTAGGACTGAAACTCCGTTGAGAATATTGATGCGACGTGCCCAATCGACCTATAGGACACATATCAACCGGCCATCAGAGTACAACTCGACAGGGCTTCAAGATATCGTATCAGGCGACCTGTAGTGGGAAACTTCTAAGACCCCCATAGCCAGTTCGCCCCTTTGGAATGACACAGTCGATGTCATTAAATGAGAAGATGTGCACTGCTCTTAGTTGGTGGATGAAATGTAAGAATCTGCGACCCCCCCCCCCCCTACCAAAAAGAAGAAGAAATCATTGACAACAGGAAAAAGAGAAAACCCGAGTCCATAGAAAAATAGAGGGAAGCTATTAAAGCCTCAATCGGTATATTCCACTAAAGAATCAACAGGATCAGATTAAAACAGAGTAAGCAAAGGTAGAACAAAAATAATCTACCCATTCTCGATGATATCATAGCGGTGATCGTCTCGTGGGTCCGGCGAGCTTGTTGCCCAGCACGACTCGATGAGAAGCGTTAGGTTCGTGACGGACGTCAGGCGAACGCCGAAGTATAGCGGTGTACCGAGCGTAACTTCGCCGGAATCGTTGGCAGGTTGGTAGAAGCCTGGGTTTGTATACCGGTCAAGGTTTAGCGAGAAATCACCGTACCCTACCTAAATGGTGAGTACACATTGAGAGAGATATATTTCAAATTATACGTTTAAAAATTGCACCGACCGATTTTTTGTGTGGGTAAACGGGGGGGGGGGGCGGGAAGTGAACACTCCTTTTTTAACATCCCCCCTTGAGCAAAAACAAAAACAAAAAAAAAATTAAAAAAAATCACATTTTCTACTTGTGTTTGCCAGGGCCCATTTACATTTTTTGTTTAAAAAAGGTTAACGTTACCGTATTTTACCACAGTGGAGGGGGGCGGAAAAACGGCAGATATTACCTAATCGAACCAAATTCAATATTGTTTTCCTTTAAGTGGCACTGTGGTGATGTCAAAGCATACGCGATACATGAAATCGCATCTTTAATTCATATCCTATCATAACATGATAGAAAAGTTGGGGTATATATTCTGAAGAGTTATAGGGGATTTAACATAGCTACTAATTTGTTTTTACAGCTTTCGGCAATTTTCGCTAAAGCGCGCGTAGGTCAATTTTGAGGTTAAATGAACGTCTATGAGCAAAATTGAAATCAATAATTAATGAAAGTAATTCAATTTGCTAGGGAAAGTGTCAGCAAAACTATACAAGTAAGAACAACAAATGTAATACATTTCAAACGGACGGCACGTGTAAAAACTTGAAATGTATATAGTATATGGGTCCAATAAGCATTTTGACCAATTTTAAATTTTGACGCACGCGTACGCGTCTGCCATGACCTGCGCACGGAAAAGGTTGTGGCCAAAAGTTTACCCATGACAATGTATGAATGAATTATGGGCAATATTAGTAATTAAAAAAATGGCGCCTAGATGACGTTTTGCATTAGTAATTAAAAAAAACCTTCTTCGTTAGGTACAATAATCTAACAAATGTCATATGCCATGACAGTTCCATGGTCATTTACCATGCCAATCATGAGATATCTACGTTACAACATTCATAAAAAAAGTATAGAAGAAAATTAAAGAACAAAAAAGAAAGTTCTTGAGGAAGGTTTAGATGCCATGCTTCGAGGCAGCTAGATCACCTAGTATTAGGGACTTTTAGATTTGCACGACGTGAACGTGGACCGCTACGTGTGACATCCTTTTAAGGGAATGTGACGTCCTTTTAAGGCACTGACAGTGCCCGGCGGCGCCTTAAAAGTCCCTAATAGCGAGTTTTCGCTCAGCGACGGACAGACCTTCTACGACGGGGAAGACTCCCATGACTGGTTCTAAACAACAGAGGCTGCACATGAGGTTCACCGCAAAATCATTCAAGCGACGGGCTGGAGTAGGAATAGTTCAGTGTTTGGGGCTGCTGTTTAGCGCAAAATTTGTTTGGAACCAGCCACCTTCACAACCTGGCCAGTATGACGTCACACTTTGGTAATTCTATTCAGCCCAAATGTCCTAAAAATGTGGTGCTCCTGGCTCTCGAAAATGATTTCACTGTTCTTGCGAAAGGACGTTTAGCTGGGGTTAGAACCCTCAACCCCTGGATTGATAGCCAAGTGAAATGAACCACTGTTCCACGACATCTTAAGCTACAAACTAATTGAATCCTCACTTTACTTAACCCTATAAAGGCCGGGCTATTTTAAAACTGCATAACCGGGGGGGGAGGGGGGGGGGGGTGATAAAGCCTCCCCCCATCCTCCTCGAGCTAGAAAGGGATAAGCTACAAAGTAATTGAATCCTCACCTCTTCGAAAACATAAAGATTTGCTTCAGGCAAGAAGGACTCTTCCAAGACCTGTGTCCGCTCCAGGTAGCAAGTAACAGGAATTTTAAGATTGTGTTCTCTGGCGATGAGCTCATTGGTTCCGTTTTCAGGGCGGGGCTTGTAATACGTCACCATGTTGGTAAATATTATGTAGTCGTCGTTATGCTGCGGGTGTTAATGGTGGGATGAGGGCACATTCAACGAAACGTTAATGGACAAACTGTTACGGGGACCAAAAAGTAACAATGTACCGTTTGAGCTGTTTTACCGATGATGATGATGATGATAATATTATTTTTGACAGTAGCTATGATATTAAGGAATGAACTAATAGTTTCTTCGTACCGGGTAACTCTTCTGACTGGAGAGTAGCAAATGTAGATCAAACCACCGACTATATCTTGTATACTACAGCACTTCTACAAGGCCGAAGGTGATATAAAACCTCAACAATAATATAATTCTCTGATTTTCTAGCGTCTGCCAAAAATTAGAAAATTAAAATAATAGAAATAGATTACGAATAAAGACAAAGAACCTAACTTTCTGTTCGTTTTTGGCCTTTATTGCCACCCACACATCGGTGGTCTATTTCAGGGTTTACGCTCAAACCTTCTTTGGGCCTTTGGGCCAAGAATGCCGTGATTTTAAAAAAGAGGAAAGAAATTCATTCGGCCTGACAGATGGCTTCAATATTAAAAAAAAAATTGAACCTTGGGTCTTGGACCCATGAATAGATGGATCTAGAAAAGATAATTTGTCCTAAATCAATGATCATAACCACACTGTGTAATTCATTTAGCCAAAATATAGTCATTATGATACAGATGTTAGCCATGTAGGTCCCCAGATACGTCTATTACGTCTATTACTGATGGGAAATAATCTTCTACGAGCACTTATAAATATAGATAATTAATACGGTCACTGAAATAATGGAACACAGATTCATGAGAGGAATTACTGGAATCCTTATCAAGTAGTGTTTTTGTGATGTATCAATGGTAAATAAAGACTAATTGACCATACCTCTTGTGTAGTACCACATCTGTCGTACATGGTGGTGATCGCAACATGCTGACTGTCGTGGTCGTATGCAACACAAGATTCGTCTTCGAAATGGACATCGCGGGCGTCGTCGCCGATCTCGAGAAGGGTTCTTTCCATAATGAGCGTCATCGACACGCTGTCACAAGTCAGGTCCGCCCCTGCGAGAAGATATCAAATGGATGCATGATCAAACTATCAACTAAGTGTTCTTGCAATTTATTGACTTAATATGGTGAGAGTGCATTTTCAAGGGGCTAATTATACATAGATTTCTTCTTCAAATCTGCATCAGTCATGTTTTACTTCATTTTTTTCTCCAACAAAATCATCTCTCTGAAGTGCTGAGAGTGCATTTTCAAGGGGCTAATTATACATAGATTTCTTCTTCAAATCTGCATCAGTCATGTTTTACATATTGTGTTTTACTTCATTTTTTTCTCCAACAAAATCATCTCTCTGAAGTGCAAATAAAAAATCTATTGAACGTTCATCCCAACGTAAACATAATTATATTCAGTTCATGAGAGAACCCCCCCCCCCCCCCCCGGAAAAAAAAATCAGAAAAAAAAAATCGTATTTTTCATGTGAGAGTGTATTCGTACACAATTTGATTCCAAAACAAAATTGTGTTTTGTCTGCTGAATGGTGTAATTTCTGTATTGTATTTATTTAACTTTACTAATGGAAATTGTGAAGACAAGGGGTCCATATTATCACGGTCATTTAACCAATTGTTTTGAGCTGCTCATTTTGCAATTCACTTTCAGCGCGAGGTCACTCTGACATGATGCGTTGAATACCGAACCTCTCTCTGACACAGTCCTGCGTCACTAATTTGACGCCGCGTCTTTGACACAACCAGAGACTGAGTTAGGCTTTGCCCAACACTTTATTAAATTGTGTTTAACCCTAATAAGTCGGGGGGGCATCATGGCCCCCCTCCACGATTTGTCTGATTGTTCGAGAACGCATATGGATGGCGCCCCGCCTCTCGCTGACTTTTTTCTTTTGAGTCTTGCGTAACTTTTAAAAGATTTTTTTTTGAAAATCGGACCTACAGTTACAAGGTCACGTGACCTTTTGTCTTTGCATGTCAGCCCGAAAATCGCTCATTTTCGTAATTTATGTACAAAACATATGGAAAAGTCATTTTTCCTAAAAACAGATCAAACATGGGTTATTGGGTCTTGTTTAAAGTTTAGGTGGTTGTTTTGGGAGTCAAAATAGTTGAATTGTAGTTAGAAATGAAATAAAAGAACAAAAACAATAAAATACATAAGCTAAACAAACAATTAAATACATAAGAAATTATTAAAACAAGGGATAACATAATGAATAAGCTGGCTCTTCCAAAATTTTTTGTCGTATTATTATTCAGAATGGTCTAATGAATATATGTAGTGAAAAAGAATGCTTAAATATGAATAATATATGATTTATGGGTAAAAATGTGATTTGTATGACCTTACACCGTCGCTCATTAAGTTGGAATATTTTTGTTTCACCCCAATTTATGGAATTATTTTTAAAATAATTTAAATATAATTGATCTCGATAATAATATACATTCTCAGATTTCATTGAATAATAATTTGCCAATGTGTGTTTTGCGTGACTGCTAAAGCGTGTGTATGCTACTTTGCTTATCAAATAGGGGACCTACGCCAGTCATAAATGACAGTAATGAGGATTAATGCCCCACAAAAGGGCACTAATATAGCACATCGACACGGTTTTGATCATGGGGCCTCACAGTTACGAGGCCATTGCTTTGTCACTGAACCATGACTGTACGCAGCGGTGGCTAGGGTAGGGGGCAGTTTCCATAAATTAAAAAAAACAAAGAAAATGCAAACATTTTCAATAATTTATTGCATTTTACCCCGTCCCCAACATAATCGATTTGGAGCAATGTAAATTAGTATCACTTAGTTTAATTAAGTTTTTACTTCATTTCAATGTTTGGTTAAGCTAGAACGAAGTATAGGCCTAACATTAATCTGAATCTCTTCTCTGTGAAAAAAGAGTCAACTGAGACCAAAGGACTTATTTTGGTCCAAAAGAAGACAGAGAAAACATAACTGTATTGCTTTCACGGTATTGCGACCGTATGGGATAAGAGCGAAAGTAAAATACGTCAGGAATTTTCAGGGATTCTTCCATTTAATCCAATAATTGATAAACCGAAAAAATTCAATAGTGTTCAGAATTATGAAAGTTAATCATACATTTTAATTTAATTATAATTATAGAAGAAGACTTATAATTCCCCGGCAGTGGTAGGTATCCATTAAATACACATGGATCGAGAGGGAAATATGAAGGCAAAACCCTTTGTCTTAGGATGTAACAACTGAAGAAGGATCGAACCCGGGAACTCTCGTATGAGAGTCAAGAGCCTTCACCAATATAACACAATGCCCCCACTACAATGTTATGACTCACCCGGATTAGCTTGGTCAGTTGTAGGGTTGTAAACTTCCGTGCTTGTTTGCATTTCTTCTGCATTGTATGATGACAGAAAAACATGAAACACGACCGAGCAAAAGGAATTTTTAAATTTAAACTTCTGATCTATACTAACTACAGTAGGCCTTTTTTTCGGAACCACGTTCATGGCGGGTTGAGGCTTTGGACAATATAGCAGTCAGATGCCACCTTCGACATTTTAAAGTGTCTACGTCAATAGGCGATTCCTTGAAATGGTCCCTGACAACAAAAGTCTTTTATCCATTTATTTCATTCAAAAATCTCTTGTACGGATTGAAAAAAGACATTTAGAGATCATTCATTTACGGATTACAATTGGAGGATAAAGAAAGTTATGTCGTGCGAAACACTTGGATTTCATATCAACAAGATAAAAAACATGACGCAACAATCTAGACAATCATAGTAAAAGGAAGTCATGGTACAAGTCATTTTACAGAGACTTACCCGTACTAGGTGCTTCAGTTAGGATCGGGCTAGTTGTGGAATCTGTAATACAGTGCGTCCCAGAAAAAACGAAACCGAGAAGTATCGATGTTTTATCATAACTTAATCACAACCATAATTAATGAATGATACATATTTGGAAAGCTTAGAGTCTCTTCTTTCAGTTGATGCTACTCAGATGATGCATATTTCATGCATGGGTGATTAAAAGCAATTTGAAGGAAGGAAACCAAAAAGACATTTGGCGGGCGGTATCTAAATTTCGAAGAAAAAATCTCATTTCTAGAAAGTTGAGTTTCTGCCCTTTCATATGACACCTCAATCAGGAAAAATGAGCGAGGAATGACAAAGTTCTGTTTGTTTAAAGTAGCCCTTACATTTTCAAAATTTTAACAAACGAATTCGTTTTCACTGGGTGCCTGCCGTAGCAAAAAGCAGATTTGACAAAAGACTTAACTCCGTTTCGTTGACAATCAGCCATGCATGAAGACTCTAGTCTACGGCTGATTGTCAACGAAACGGAGTTAAGTCTTTTGTTAATTTCGTTTATTGATACGGCAGGCAGCCAGTGAAAACGAATTCGTTTAATAAAATTATGGAAATGCAAGCACTACTTTAAACAAACAGAACTTTGTCATTCCTCGCTCATTTTTCCTGATTGAGGTGTCATATGAAAGGGCAGAAACTCAACTTTCTAGAAATGTGAATTTTTCTTTGAAATTCAGATACAACCCGCCAAACGTCTTTTTGGTTTCCTTCCTTCAAATTGCTTTTAATCACTCATGCGGGAAATATGCATCATCTGAGTAGCATCACATGAAAGAGGAGACTCTAAGCGTTCCAAATATGTATCATTCATTAATTATAGTTGTGATTAAGTTATGATAGAACATCGATAATTCTCGGTTTCGTTTTTTCTGGGACGCACTGTATAAGTGAAATCGATGATACATACAAATGGTTACGGATAAGTAGGTAAAATGAGGCGGAGGGAGAATCGAAACTAAGGCCGGTTAATTTTACTTCATTAGCTAGTCAACCATACTATTTCAACTGCAAAATCCATCCAATTCGAATATATATTTTATATGGCATCAAACTCTAGTATATTTAGATTATACGTACTACTATTACTACTACATCGAGTACTAGCTACATTTATATTGGGCACTTATCCATCACAGGACATAGGCTCACGTACTCAAGTCACCTGTAAAGTACTATTATTGTCCAGGCTTTAGCCCAGCTGCCCTACGGCGCTCAAAGCACCCAATGAATAGATTCATACCAGGTACCCATTTACTACACCTTGGTGGAGAGTGGCACATATTTTGCATTCGGATTACTGAGATGCAATAATATTATACAAATATTGCATGCTCCGGCGTTCAATATAACAAAATAAATGAACCGATAAATTAAAATTTTTCCTAGTAATGTTATACTTCACCGAGGCCGCAGGCTGAAGTGGAAATAATAATGGCACGATTTGAATATATGTTATATCGAACAACGAAATGTATGCAATATTGGTTATATACAATTGAGGGTATTTGCAGTCTCATGCCTTGTGCCTAATAGGAGTCGGGCCCAATCGATTATGTTCAAGTTGCCTTCGTATCATATGCGCGCAGCTACAACGCACACAATCGAAACACCCAAGGGACAGGGTTGCACTGTTTTATTTTGTACACGTTTGGCCGTGCACAAAAGGTTGTTTTAATTTGTTTTCAAATTCTCTAACAATATTGTTGTATATTATTACATTTCATAAGTAAAAATACAAGTTGTATACATAAGTTGGTGCTGGGTCACAACAGCTTAGTGTTGCTAGTATTTACCTAGTTATCATTTTAAAAGTGTTTGATGGCCTACAAAAACTCTATATCATAATGAGAAAGATTATTGTCGAGCTTGTATATTTAATTCTATTTTCATGGACGTTTCTTCTGTGGTTTACTTCTAAATGGAAGTGGAAATATGATCTCGAACATTACAATTCACCTTTACCAGAACTCAATCTCATTCACCATGTTCTCATGGAGAATTAAAAAAAAATCAGCTTAGATAAATGTTTTACAAAACCTTACCGACAACAAAACAACTATAATCCTATAATTTCAGAAGAAGACTTCTGATATTCAATCACATTCCAAAGAAAGATGTGCTGTACTTCAAATCGATTCAGATCAATGCAAATAATTATCATTTAGT